AAAAAAAAAAAAAAAAAAAAAAAAAAAGTTAATCCAAAGTCATCTCTACAGAGGAAATCATGGAAAAGTATGTAAGCAATCACTAAAAAATGGTTACTCTGGCAAACAAGATTTCTGATGAAATGACCCTTCCTTTTTGCTTATCAGTGTATTAATTTTAATACACAGAATGAATTGCATACTAAAAATAACTTGTGGAAATTTTTAAAAGAACACATCTCAGAAAAAAACTGGAAGTGAAAAATCTAAAATGAGCTAAAAGTTTTGAACTATACTTGTAGAGTGGGTCTATAGCTTTAAGTGTATTGCATGTGAGCAGTAACAACTGTGGCATTTAGTAGCGCCACACAATGATTAGGGTTAAATGATAAGCTTTAAAAAAAATCATCCAAAAAAAGGGGGGGCGGGGATTTAGCTCAGCGGTTCAGCGGTTCTGGGGCCTGCCTTGCAAGCACAAGGACCTGAGTTCAATCCCCGGTACCAAACAAACAAAAAAATGCATCCACATCCCTGTTGAAGTAAGCAACATAGGCACAAAGAAATGCTAAACAACTAAGACCAAAGCAGCCAATCTACTTCCAAATTATGTTGCATTCACCATGTGCACAATCCCAGAGACAGAGCCCCACACTTATCCTCCTCGCCTCCGCACCAGAAGGCAGAGGACTCCGGGAACACTTTGCACAGGGAACTGTCCCCTTACACCACCACCCCACCTTCTGCGTCACATGCATGAAAAACACCGGCAAGGAGCTCTCCCTCACTGGCCCCGTCGGCGCCATGTGGTACACCTCGGCCACTGCCAGCTCCTAGTTTCCATCCTAGCAAAAGAAAATGTGTACATCCAGGGGCTCTTCTGGGCTACAAAGAATCATTTCTAATGATATTTATATATATATTGGTACCAGGGATCAAACTCAGGACCTTGCACTTGTGAGGCAGGCGGTGGAACCGCTGAGTTAAATCCCCGGCCCAAGGAGATTAATTCTGTAAAAAGAAAAATTATTTTACCAAACAACATCCCACGCTACTGATTATATAACTTCAATGAACCCATTGAAAGGGCACTGGAGGGGTAGAGTTGTAGGTCAGTGGGACAGCAGTTGCCGAGTTTGCACAAGGTTCTGGGTTCAAGCCCCAACGCTACAGAAAGTCTTTTAAAATAAAAATAAAGTTGTCTTTAAATGCCTCCTCTTATTCATTTTCCCTTTTTCTTTTATGAAAGGGAGAGAAAAGAATAGAAAGGAAGAAAAGCGTTTTTCTCCCTGTCCTAGCTAAAGTGCTTTATGGAAAAGCAACTAGTAGAACATAAAGAAAAATACTGCTAAGAAAAAGAGGGGGATCTGGCATGGTGGAGCTACACCTATAATTCCAACTACAATAGGGTTAAGGAGGAGGCTGAGGCAGGAGAACGCAGGTCCAAGGCAAGCTTGGCAATTATCAAGACTCTGTCTCAAAATTTAATAAAATAAAAATCCTAGCCGTGGTGGTGTACCCCTGTATTCCCCACCCAACCAAAAGATACATGAAAATGTAGCTCAGAGTGAAGATTCTGTTTCAATCCCCAGTACCACAAAAAGAAAGATCAAAGAAACAGGAGGAAGAGAAGAGGGAGAGGAAGGCAGGCAGGAAGGAAAAACAAAAGTAGAGGAGGGCCGGGGATTTAGCACAGAGGTTCTTCCGCCCGCCTCACGAGCACAGGGACCCAAGTTCGACTCCCGGTACAGAAAGAAAAAGTAGCGGGAAAGAAGGACCTGGCTATGCAGATTAGGTGCCATTTTACATTTCGTTTTTTTACAGGCTATTATGGAAGGGACCCCATCAGAAATCTCCCAGAGCTCTAAATTTCTAATCAGCCTGCGAATGTACAACCTCCTTCCCAGCCACCTCCTTGGCTCCTAAAACAGAGCCCCATATTATAGCTCTTCCTTTTTTTTTTTTTTTGCAGTACCAGGGACCAAACTCAGGACCTTGCACCTGTGAGGCAGGCAGTGGCACCACTGAGCTACATCTCGGGCCCTATTAGTTTTTCTCTTAAGAAAAGAAACATCAGGACTGGGGATTTAGCTCAGTGGTTCGGTGGTCTGCCTTGCAAGTGCAAGGACCCGAGTTCAATCCCAAAAAAAAAAAAAAAAAAAAAAAAGAAACATCAAAAAGATTGTTTCAGCAAGACATCTAGGAACTGTTTGAATTTTAACTACCCTATATCTAAATATTCCCATCATAATATTCCAACCAGGCTTGAATAAAGTTTATTTTCACATCAGTAGAGAAATGTGCATGATTATGATTGCAAAGGCTCTCTAAAATTTGTAACTTAATTAATTTAATTAGACACACACAAAACACATTTCACATAGATCTTTTTCAAGGTGGGGTTGGGGAGAAATAAACATACTTAAAACAAAAGGGCACCTGGGAGGCTGAGGCAGGAAGATCCCTATGAGTTTGAGACCAGCTTGGGCTACATAATGAGTTACAGGTCAGTTTCAACTACATAGTGAGACAGACCCTATCTCAAAGTGGGGGGGGGCACATGGATGCTCCCATTACAACTTTAATAATATGGATTTTCTTTTTTGGTTCGGATGTTCTAAACATAGATGTGCTTATATTTTATTGGAAGAAAAAGCATTTAAAATGATGATTTACCATCTTCATTCAGGGATAACTTCCTCACCACTGAATCCTGAGGAGTAAACCGCGAGCAGCTTTGCCCAGAGGTGGGATCCAGGCTGTCCCTGTCGAGGAAGCTCCCCACTTCCCGGATCAAGGAGGTGCAACTCCGGGTCCTCTGCGACCTTGGCCTTGAGGGGCTCGTGGGACTGGCCGAGTACCTGGCCTTCTCGGGAGATGGGCGGTTGGAGGCAGAGGGGCTTCTCGGCAACATGACTTCCGGGCGTGAAAAGGAGCTGTCTGAGCTCTCAGAACGTAAGAAACGCGGGCCAGGCACAGGAGGGGGCGCAAGGCTGCCGGCCTGGTGTCTGATCGTGTGTGGACCCGGATCTGAAATCTCCTCTCTCCTTTGAATGGCTCGGATTTTTCGGCAGATGCTGTCCACCGGGTTATGCCGCTTCTCCGTCACGTTCCTTGCAGAAGCCATGGTTGACTTGACATTTACAGTATTGTCTGGATTCCTTCCAACGTCAATCTGGGAATAAATAGCCAATTGCTAAATTATTGTTAGCATGGTGCTGGTTTAAAAATGGGTCTCCCTGTGCTTTCACTCCAGCCCCCTCTAATGCAAAGTCAACCATAGCAGTAACTATCTACGCTAAACAATTTTCCATACGTTTAGCTTTGGCTCTCAAATATATATATTTCCTTCTACGTATAGGCATGACACCAAGACATACATGTTGGTACACACACACACACACACACACACACACACACATCCACTCCTCTTTAAAACAGCATTGAAGTCAACATTACTATCTCCATTATCAGACATGGTGAGAATAAAACACACAGCCTAAATCAACCCAGAAAGGTCGAGTATGGTGGTGCATGCCTGTAATCCTAGCACCCAGGAGGCTGAGACAGGAGGATCACCACTGAGTTCAAGGCCAGCCTGGGCTACATAGTAAGACTTTGCCCCCAAACAAACAAACAAACAAAAAAAACATAAAAAGCTACCCTAGAGAAGTGCCAGAACCCAGATTTGAACCCAGGCAGTCCAATTTCCAGGGCTGGGCTCTTAACCATATTGCATTTCAACGATAACGATACATCACACGTCAAGATGCTAACAGCCCGCATTTGAGTACCAGCTGCTGGCATTTTTCTGGGTCTCACCCACTGGTAACTTTCCCAATGTGCTCTGTATTCTGTATTTCACGTGTATTATGTGTAACCTTCGTACAAGCCCAGTCAAATGGGTGGCACTATCTTTCTACACATAAGGAAACAGACTCAAAGAGAGCAAGGAACTAAGATAGGAGCCAAAGTGTGTGTGACTTCCAGAATCCGGGCTTTCTGGGTGCCAGAGACTGAACCCAGGGTGGCATCACCCATGCTAAACTCACCCTCTAATACTGTGCTACTCCACAAGCCCTTCTGGCATAATTACCTATATGGGCTTTAAAAAAATTAAAAACTGTGATTCTGCTCTTAGAATAATTATAAAATTTGGAAATAGACCCCAAAATAGTACAAATAGTTGAAAAGTTACACAGTGTTTGAAAGTTATGCTTTTTAGCCGGGCCTGGTGTTACAGGCCTATCATCCCAGCACTTAGGAAGCTGAAGCAGGAGGATCTCCTCAAGTTTGAGGCCAGCCTGGGCTACATAGTGAGTTCAAGGCTGGACTGAACTATATAGAGAGACTCTGTCTCAAAGAAACAAACAAAAAGTTAGGATTTTTAAGACCTAAACAAAATTTGCATATGTAGATTTTTTTTTTTTTTTAATCCTGTAAACCAGGCCTGGTACACGTCCCTGTAATCCCAGCACTCTGGGAGGCAGGGGGTTACAAACTATGCCCAGCCTAGGTCACTTGGTGTCTTAGCAAGACCCTGTTTCCAAATAAAAATGTTAAAGGTGCTGAGGATGTAGCTCAATGCAAAGGCCCTAGGTTCATCCCCAGTACTCATTTCTAACATTTTAGAAGTGTAAAGAAACTGGGATGACTGGGAAGATGGTAATGCAAACCCTGTCACTCTGACCCCGTCTTACTTCAGTTACCCCCCAGTAGGGTAATGCCCGTCTCTGCACCTCCATGTTGTCGCCTCACAGTACCTCCCCTTTTCACGCATTCCAGGCTTATCTTTCAAAACCGAGCCTGAAACACATTCATCTACTAAAATCTGCAAACTAGCGTATGCTCACCCGACCTCCTTCCCATCTCTGCTAGGATTTATAACTGCATGGTATTTTCTTTCTTTCTTTTTTTTGCGGGGGGAATACTGGGGATCGAACTCAGGACCTTATGCTTGTGAAACAGCTGACAGAACCACTGAGCTAAATCCCCAGCCTTGCATGGTATTTTCATGAAATAATTAAATTGTGTCTTCCAGGGCCGGGGATTTAGCTCAGTGTCACCACCCCCTGCCTCGCAAGTGCAAGGTCCCGAGTTTGATCCCCCATACCAGGAAAAAAGTGTCCATTCTTAGATAACTTCAAATATATGTGCCCATTATTTCCTAAAAATATTTTTAATTCTTGTCATCAAAACATGCTTCTTTTTTAGATACTCAGTACATTACTGCTGGCACAATTGATTACCCATAATTATATATAGTACGTGTCATTACCAGGTTGGAAGACTGTGCTGATTGGCTCCCAACTACTTTAAGCCGCCGTCTCTCCCAGAGTCCCCTGCTCATCCCAGCAGGAGCTGCCATGCTAGGTGGACAGACGTGAAGTAGCGGCTGAGACAGAAGAGTGTGCGCCTGTGAACACACCACACTCCAAGTCCACAGCCCACCGAGCGTGGCTCAGACCCTGACTTCCCCACGCCACGCAGAGAGCTTCCTAAGAGACCAGCTGCATGGTGTGAGCGCTGTTGATGGGAGTTGGTAATTTCTCCCTTGCGCTAAGGTACAGGTTGGACACAAAGCCAAGGGGGACCCTAGATGAGGACCTCGGACCTGCAATCCCGGTCTACTGAACCTCTGAACACCGAGGAGGACGAAAGCCTCACTCTGCAGGAGTCGTACCTGATGCCGATTAACCTCCCCAGGCTGTAAGCCAAGCAGTTCTATTTGCTTTTCCAAGCCATCTTTCTCCCTCCGTCATGTTTTCTAAACGTCGAGGACTCACCTAAGTGAGCCCTGCTTGGCAGGTGATAACGCTGAAACTCACAGCACACTTAAGATTCCAGATCTTGACAAGCTGACAAAATTTCACAAGATAGACTTCTTTTGTTCATTTTAATATGGAGCAGAACATTTGTGGAAGTTCGGTAAATAAGACGGGATGATAAAGATTTCAAGACTTGTGCCACACTCTCTCTATATGGCTTTGAAATATGTCCCGCCTATTTTTTGGTACCAGCTGTAGAAAAGATTAGCTGTGATCTTCCATAACTACTTATTTATTTTAAGGGGAGGTACCAGGGATCAAACTCGGGTCCTTGTGCTTATGAGGCAGGCAGCAGAACCACTGAGCTAAATCCCCAGCCCCTTCCATAACATTTAAAAATACAGGTCTAACTTACTGTGCACAATAACTTCCTTTCCAAAAGCATTAACTAAGAGTTAAAAGACGAAAGTAATTTTTACAAGGAGAACTAGTTCCCTGGAGTCTTCTTTTGACAAGGAACTTCCCCTTTATCTGTTTTAGCTGATTGAATATTTGTCATATAAAGATGGTACACTCACAGAAATCCCAATCTTGCCATCTACTAATGGCAAGAACTTCTTCTAAGTGTGTGGGATCTCAGCTGTATTACAGACCAGGGGGGTGGGGCGGTCCTGGGAATTGAACCCAAAGCAAAGATATAATTTGTGTTTATCAATATACACATTCCTCAACTACTAACAATTGAATTTCACTGCAAAAAAAAAAAAAAATCCCAAGAGTCATACTGATGTACGAAAGCAAAATCCTTCAAGTTGCTGATTTCAGGACATTTGAAAAAGCTCTTCAGATAACCTTGAACATTGTTCTTCCAAGCTTTAGATCAGGCAGGCTTATTTCTAAAAGCTTCAATATTGGATTATGAAATCCAGGCAAATCTTCCATGACTCTGAAGTGAAATCCACTTAGCAGCTTAATTAAAACATGATCTTTAGTTGATGGTTGCCAAAAATGTGAATATGTGTGTAGATAATAAAGAAAAGACCCTTTTTGCCAAGATGGGTCTAAGGGTTGGTGCCACCAAACTTCACCAAAACCTAAGAAACGCCTGCCTTTATTGACCTGGTGAGAGAGCCCAGCTTGGGTTCCTACTTAACCCATCAGTTTTAGATTTGTCTGATTAAACTGTTTTCAGCCTCGTTGTGACTAGTTTTTTATGTGACAAAATAACACACCTTTTCCTGCCTTTTCTGGGAGAGAGGATAATAGCTGTTGATCAAAGTGACTTACAAAGCACAAGTCCCAGAGTTAGTAAATGCCCCAGCTAATGTGTTACCTGCAAACTGTACGCATGAACCAGCTCGGGGAGTGGGGACCCACTCTCCCCAGCACCCGCTTGACCTTGCTATGTTGCATTCGGGACTGGATCGCACCAATCTTCTTAGAAACATCTCTCCAACAATTCCTGCCTAGCAGAGGCACATGTGGTTCTCAACAATGCCTATATTCTTCTCTCTCACTTCTTATTTTGTGAAGTCTTCTCAGAAACCAGAAGACTCACAAGAAAACTCCAAGGATTGAGGTGCTCCTGAGTAGTTACAGCCTCCAAAACTCCATCACTGCCTTCCCCAATACTGTACTTCCAGAAGACCAAGTCTGGAAGCCACCAACAAGACCTTAAGTATCTGCCCAAAGCCCACTTGAAAACAATTCTTCCATTTGCCAATGCTTCCGGGAAACCCAGCTCTATCACGCAGCGAATCTAGTTCCCTATTTTTTTCAGCTGTTTGTTTTTTGTTTGCATCTCTCTTGTGGTGCCTGGGATTAAACTCAGGGCCTCTCCCATTGAATTACATCTGAAACCCCCCTTAAAACAACACTGAGCTGGAACCTTCCCTGCCCACAGATCGCTTAACACAGGGGGATGGTTTTGAGCTTGAGGCCAGTGGGGCTACACAGCGAGACATCCTCTCAAAAAACCAAAGGTAATAAGCTTGAGACACTGCTAGGTAAATGGATGCACCTTGGAACTGCGCTCTGAAGTGAAGCCATTTGGACAAACGTGTTTAAAATCCACACTGTTTCTCTGCTGTGAGAAACTGAAAGTGGAAATAAGAACCAAAATGCATAATGGACATTGGGAAGTGGGAAGAAAATGTTCACATGAGAAGGGGAACAAGAGAGAAGGGAGGGGAAAGGAAGGAAGGGGCAAAGGAAAAAAAAGGAAAGAAATGGAACAAAGTTTTGTAAATAAGCAGGGGAAGAGGGATTGAAGGGAAGGCAGGGGAATGGGGAAAAGAAGAATCAAGATGTATCATGTACAGGTACAAATTCCCTATGATGAATGCGATCGTGATGTGTATCTAAAATGTTCCAGTAAAAAAGAGAGGAAACCAAAGATGATAATACTAAAACAATTTTAAAACTGGGACTGAGTTTCTAAATTCCCCAGGCTGGGCTCAATAGGCAGTTCTCCTGCCTCAGCCTCCCAAGTACCTGGGACTCTAGGCAACCACCACCATGCCCAGCTTAGCAGTTTTCTTTTCTAAATTCAACTTATTGTATGAGGCGTCCAACGTGGGCTGACATTGGAAGTTGGTCTTTGCCCCAAGCATTTTGAGGTTGATGCTAGGGCGAGGGGGAAACGGGGCAGTTGATGTCCCACATGCCTTCCCCTACCCCATCCCCTTAGGGCTGTACTCTCTAGACACTAGTGACAAAAAGCCAGCAGGGACTGAAGTTTAACCATTTCCTGGGGGTAAACTCACCACCTCGCTTTTCCCTTGACCTCACCAAGAACGAGCTTCCGGAATCAGGAAGAGAGAGCAAGGCCTATCACGGGTGCTGGGAGGAACTAATTTATACGAGCAAGTGGTGTGGGGGCGCAGGACAAATGCTAGAAGCCACTGATCAGCTACATCTGCGTCAGGCACGGTAATGAGCAGCGGCGCCAGGAAGCCCGGAGGAGACTTGAAGATGGAGATCTTGGTCATGGCACCATATTGGAGCGCTGGCCACCCTAACTCAAAAGACCTCACTCCAAATGTCCTCGGTCCAGTCAGGATGACGCAGAAGTCATTTTTAAGTTAAATTACCTAAATTTCTATTGAGCCAAGTGCTGTGTAGGTTTCAAGGACTGTATCTAATCTTGGGGATGCAAAATAAAATATTTAAGTGTATAAATTAAGCGCCAAGAAGATCTGGCTAAGTCAGTTCAATGTGGGCCAAGAAGGGTTTATAAGGGTGGGACACAAATTAGTGTTTACATAACGTGTTCTGCCTAGATGGGAGCAAAGGAGAGACTACACTGTTTCAGTATCCTGGGCAAGCAGTCTTGAGACAGGTACTGGACCTGGAGCAATGAAAAATGTCAGTTTGCAAAGGCAGAATTAACTGGATTCAGAGCTACCTAAAGCCAGGTGTGGCTGCCCATGCCTATAATCCCTGCTACTTGGGAGGCTGAAGCAGAAAGACCAGCCTGGGCGGCTTATCAAGACACAGTGTCAAAATTTAAAACATAAATAAAAAGTGCCAGAGATGTGGCTCGGTACTTCCTGGATTCGGTGCACGCAGTACAAAGGCGGGAAAAAAAGAAACAGAAAGAAATCTCCTGCAATGTTATTTCCCATCAGGGGAAATAAAATTCAGCTCGGGCAGAGGCCTTGAGAGCAGGACAAACAGAACCAGTCATTAAACAAAAAGCAAACCAAACTAGGATCAAGGCTCTAAGCACACGGCCGACGCTCTTATCTGGATTTGAGTGAAACTCAGGGCTTCCCTGGCAGCCCTGGGTGCTCACTGGTGTCTTCACAGCCTTCAGCACGGCGATGTCTCGCTGCTCTCCACCCTCCTACACCGAGGGGACTCTGACTGTCTAGATGTTGTATCGCCAGGTAAGAGAGGCGGAGTGTAGCGGTTTAGAGTTAGGGGCTCTGGAGCCGGGGATGTAGCTCAGTGGCTCCGCTGCCTTCCTCACAAGCGCAAGGTCCGGAGTTTGATCCCCGGTACCCCCCAACAAAAAAAAGAGGCTCTGGGTCTGAATCAATTTGAGTTCAAATCCCAGGCCTGCCTCTTACTAGCTTTTGTGACTTTAGACAGATTACTCAACTCTCTGTGCCTCAATTTACTCATCTGTGTGGCTGTGCCAATAGGCGATGACTGTATTTGCTGCGGGGATTAAACGAGATCCTACCTCTGCAGCCCTGGAGCCACGTCACACGCTGCGCGTTCTCGGCAGTGTTAAGATCTTTCTGAAACTCCTTCAGCGTTCAGATCTTAGCATCAAACAGTGCCTCGAAGGAAATGACCGGCCGGCTCCTTCCTTTGTGTTGGACTTGTTCTGATTAATTTCCCATGAAAGGAACTATTATAACACCCGTGCTTATCAATCCTCAGATACCGAAACTACCAACACCCAGAGAGATTTTCCTCCTAGTCATAATGAAGCCAGAAGTAGAGCCAGAAATAATATTCAGACTCCGAGTGCACTAGGCCGTAGCTTCTGTGTGACAAATTCTACTCTGACTTCTGGCTCCAGTGGTTGTATGGTACCTGATGCTTCTCAAAGCAGCAAAAGGAAAGCACCTGAACACTACGTCCCAACGCATCTGCAATGAGTCAGCCTAGCAGCAGGTCATTTTGTTACTTAATATTTACCCCATGGACACCCCCAGTGCCAGGGGGAGGTGTGCACAGCAAGCAAATGCTGAGGGGAAAAAAAAAAAAAAAAAAAAAAAAA